GTGTGTGTTGTTTCCCACTCATAGCTCTCCGTTGGGTGGGCGAGCTGGGTTCAGCAGGTAGGCTGCTCCCTATGCTTACTCCACATGGGTCAGTGACCCAAGGAAGCTGCCATACTGGCTGTCTTTGTGAGATGAACTTGAGTCGTTTGTAGGGAAATGGATGCACCTCGAGACCATAATGTTAAGTGAAATAAATCAGACACACAAGCTTACATTCTGCGTGCTTTCTCTTCTATGACAAACTCGGTATATAAATAAAGTGATAAATAAGACAGATAATAGGAAAAAAGAAGGAAAAAATTGTTGTCACCCAGCATGGACAAGATATCTAAAAGTGTGCCTTGATTTAGTATAATTGACTTATGTGTTTCATATGGGTTTTTTTGGCCTGTTATTCTGGTTGCTGATCTGTATATATGATAATTAACTTTATAAGGACATAAATAAATCTGATGCTGGTAAAATAAAAGGTGGAGGGCAGGAGAAATAAGAATTGAGATATGTTGTGTAGATTACCAATATCTTACAATGAATGTAACCATGTACTGCAAACATGGACTACTAAAACTTAATTTTTTTAAAAAAAGCAAGACGAGCAAACAGAAATAGCCAGCTAACAGATGAGAAAGAAAGCTATGCAGAGGGGCAAAGAATTGAGTGAAAAAGATAGACAACAAAAGACAAAGGGGTCTTTTTGAGATTCCCTGCAATATCAGATTCTTGGCTTCTTATAGCTCTCCAGGTTTTGAGTCACACTTCTGTAGAAATGTTGTTCTTAGATGTCTACAAATTTCCTACTTGTATCCCAAATGTCACTTTTTATGCTCTATTCTAAAGGTCTCAATTTTATGAAATAAAAATGGACTACTACTACTAATAAATTGATAATAATAATGATTACAACAATATTTGGAAAAAGCAATTTAGTAAAAAGAAACTAGAACCTGGTGGCTATGGCAGACTCTATACAGAACTGAATGCCCAGTTAATCTTTTGATTCAATTCCAGTTTATAAAGCTCATATGACTGACTGCAAATTAATCTAGACATTTGCACAAACTTTTTCAGGGTAGGAACAGCTAATTACTGAGGCTCCTCCATGGTTCCATGACCTGCAGAAAATCTCAGTTAAAATAGTTCTTAATGCAGCATTAACCTTGCTGATCTGCAGTGTTTGTTTTTCCCTGTTGTGCAGTATATGTTATCCTTTTATCAGTGTGACTTTAATCATCTTCAGATGCCTTAGGTATTGTTCAAGACAGTACTTTAAATAACCAAGGAACCCAAAGCTCCAAGCTCCATGCTTGCCTGATTGGGCAAATAGCGTAATATTGGAAATTCTTTTTCTCACTTGTTAGCTTAATTTAAAGAAGAAGCAATTGGTTTTTTAAAGCAAATTAAAGTTCAAATAACTTATTTTTTATAGCAAAAGATAATTCTTAACTTTCTTAACTTTTAATTATCCAGAAGATCTATACTCTGAAGTTTATAATCTTAAGACTTTCATTTTAGGCCAGGGATTTAGCTCAGTGGTTTTGCCGCCTGCTGCACAAGCACAAGGACCCGAGTTCGATCCCTGGTACCAAAAAAAAAAAAAGACTTTCATTTTATGCCTTTTATGAGTGAGGAAAAAACAAGAATATTGTGATCTTCCTTTGCTTTTAATAAATATGTAAAATATCTCAATCCATGGGTACTAAGTTGTAATTGGACACAGTAAGAAGTTCTGTTATGCCACTCCATATAGATAATATATATATATTAAATATAGATAGATAATAATTATGTACTGTACATTTTGAAAGTCTAGAAGAAAGGACTTTGCAAGCTCTCACCATAAAAGTAATAACTAAGGAGAGACATATTTCAATTGATTTAAACATGGCACAAAGTATACATGTATTGAAATATCACATGTGACCCCATTAATATATATAATTTCCATGTTTTTATATATCAGTTAAAAGTAAACTTCCAGTGCTTATTTTGTGATTTGAGAAAAAGGAAAATGTGGTTAAAGGAAATACAAACACATTTGCAGGTTTAGCAACACTGACACGCATATATCTGTGCACACGAGCAACCACCCATACACGTGCCTTTTAAATATTGGTTTTAGATCTTTACACCTATTCTGTCCCATTTACAAATGAAGTGATGTATGTTTCTTGTAATGTCTTTCTAACAATTCACTGAAAATATTTAAAGCAAACAACAGTTCTTTGTAATAGAAAATTAGAGCTATAGTGCATCATTTTGTCTTAAAGTGTGAGTCGAGGGCCATTGACAGTTGATCTTAAAGTTCAGATAGTTTATAACATACAGTTTTATTTCAGCGTGAATTAGTATTTTACTTTGGAAATATGAAGCAAGCAAGAAAACAAAAATAAAATATATATTAAAACAAATATCTTATGAAAACCAAAAAAAATGATTCCCCATAAATTCTGACGTGGGCTTCATGATGGCAAGTGGGAAATTGTTCCCAAGACCTTTGGCATTGTGAATCTGACGGACATAAACAGTGAACTCTGGCCCCCTGGATTGCATTGCTTAGAACTAGTAATTTATCCCCCCCCCAAAAAAAGATTCAAAGGCAAAGAATAATGAAGGAACAATTTCTATCATAAAAGAGTTTGAAAAAATTGACCTTGAGCAAGCCAGGTGCAGTGGTCCATGTCTATAATCCCAGCACTTGGGAGGCTGAGGCAGGAGGATTGCCACAGGTTTGAAGCCAACCCGGGCTGGGTAGTGAGTTCAAGTCCAGCCTGAACTACATAGCAAGATCGTCTCAAAAAGAACCACTTCCCCCCAAATTTTGATCATGAAATGATTCTATATGGCACTGGAATGGAGTAGGGCTGTATCTGTAAGTTACACGTCAGACTTTCACTCCTTATGTTATTGAGTGTAATCATTTGTATGTTGTTGTATTCATGAAATAATACTGAACTTGTTATATGTGTCTGTGATTAAAGTCAGGCAAACAATAAATTTAGTATCAGTAGCTAGTCTTTATATATTCTTTCATTTTAGCTGCTTATAAAAGACACTCAGTATATATTGTCAAATTAATTATTGGTAGTAGCCAAATTCTCCAATAGCTTGGGGGATTTAGCAAAAAACATCTGGGTAGTTATTCTCCTCCTATATTAAGTGGTGTTTGTACTGTGATAAAGTATTTCTCGCTGATTAAGATTGCCGGAGTCAGAGCATGTACAGGAATTTCAAATCCTGACTTGTTAAACTAAAATGAATTAGGACATGAAAATCCAGCAATACCCAAATCATTGTCGGCACTCAATTACAGATTTGCTCCTAGCACCATTTTGAAAGGAAGATTCCTTAAGTCACTGTACAATTGATGTTGTGAGTTTACTAAGGTCTCCTCTGAATGAACCACACGTTTAGGTGCAGTTATGCTGGTGTCTTTATTATAAAGTGCTTCCCCAAGTTTGCAGAGTGTAACAGAGCAGAAGGCAATGGCTTCCGGTTAACTTGCGGAAATCAGAACAACTCTGAATTCCAAAACCTATGTGCCCCTAAAAGTTTTGGATGAGGGATTGTGGGTCTGTGTTTAATGGTACAGAGAAACAAGATCACTCGTACCTCCCCATGAGACTACACACTGGGGCTCCTGTGAGGGAGAAGGTCGAGATCTGGCAACATATATCCAAAACCATGAAAGGGTGCATATCCTTTAATCCAAATTCTATCTCTGGGAAACTATCATTACTAAAATTATTAGAAAATAAATAAAAGTTTAAGTTTTGGTGCATCTGGCACAGATGATGCATTCAAGTAAAACCAAGAAAGTCCTAAATGGTCAGTGATGGAAGACTGGAATGCCACAATCCTTTGCAGCCTTCGAAGTAATATAGTGCGGTAATTTTCATTCACACTGAAAGATGTCTTTGGTATTTTGTCAATTAGAATATCAGGCTTTGAACATGATATCAACTATATTATATAATTTATTTTAAAATTATGTGTATAGTCATCGACATTTACAGGAAAGACATTCACCAAAATATTAATAGTGGTTTTCTCAGGATGGCAGGATTGCAGGTGATTCTAATTTTCTATTAGTGTACTTTTTCTATCAAGGCATGCATTGCTACTATAACAATAAAACTTAAATTTCTCTTAAATATACTACTTAAGCACATCAGTGTGTCTTAATTTTTAGATTATACATGTGAACTTAATATCTATCAAAAAAAATATGACACTTCATAATTGCCTGAGTTAGTTATGGAGGCTCGGTGAATGGAGAGAACAATATTATGGAGCAAAGCTGAGCTTTCAAACAGCATGTTTTTGGCTATCATAGCATTTATACTATTGTTGACACTTTCAATGTGCATATATATTAAAATTAACCACAGAGCATTAAAATATGAGCCATATTGTCAAGGAAAGTATGGGTAGAATTTTAGACTTTATTTTTAGAACAGGCCCAGAGAGCATACTGCCAGCATTCAAGTTCTGACCCATGTGGTGTGAACAGTAAGCAAACTCTCTCCAATGCCAGGATATCAATTGAGACTTTATAATCCCTTTGTTTCAGGCATCAGAAACAATTTTCTGTCTTCAGAAATGTGTTTTGAAAATATGATCTTTGTCCTGAAATGCTCCTTTAACAATAGGAATAAATAAGAGAGCCGTATGCACTTTCAGGAACGCAATTTGCCTTCTGTATTGCGCTCAGTGGTGAGAACGTGATTTGTGCCACTCTACTGCCTGGCATGGACGAAACAGCTAGACCCAGCAGTATGTCTGCAGAAAGAGAGCTCAGTGTCTAACTGCCAATTTTCAATCATTGCTTCTTATGGTTCCCACAATATGTGTCTGAAATTTGGTACTAACTCTGAACACTTTATTCTGCTTTGGTAGACCGTTTCTGCAACCCATGAATAATTGAATTCTATTACTTTTTTATTAGAAAATTGTGGTATCTATTCTTTACTTACTCAAAGAAATAACTTTTTATTTTTCAGAGCTTCCATATGGCTGGGAAAAAATCGATGATCCCATATATGGCACTTACTATGTTGAGTAAGTCTCTAAGTGTGATATTAACTTGTTATTAATATGTTGTGAAGGTGTGTTAGTATTTCATTTATGGAGCGTGTGTGGCTGACAACCCCCTTCCCTTTCATCTTATTCTGAAGTATCCACAAAGGCTCCAGCAGTACTCGCTAGCTGTTACTGGCCTTCCCAGCTGGCTAATTTGTCATTCCTTTCCTTTGACTCATGGTTCTGAAACACCAATTGGAAAAGTGGGTCTCACACTGTCCTCTAAATGAGTGATTATTAAAGATAGCGAAGTGAATGCCTTTCATTTTGCAATCAGAATGTTGGGAACTGACTGGTTTGCAGAAGAGATATTGTATTAAACTAGATTTCAAAACCAGTTAAATAAATCAGCCATACTTTCCAATGGGATGATACAATAAAATTTATATTTTTTCTCTTTTAGGACTTGATTTTAAATCAACGGTATTTTTTTAGTAGATTGAATTTTATGTTACCTATTAGAGTTTGCATTGCAGTAATATGTCTTATACTGTGAACTGTTCCCATCTAAGTATCCTTTTATCCAAAGGAAAGAACCTATTAGAGACTCGGTTATGTACACATGTTTTTCCTAGGAAAATCAAATGATACTCATAATTTTAAAAGTTAAACATATCAATTATTTTTTCAGCACCCCTCTTCTGATAGAGAAAAAAAATTATTCTTACCCATTGTGTTATGTTCCTAAAGTTACTTGGGTGAAGAACAAAGCCCACATATTTCTCATGGGAAATATACTGCCCAAGCAATGCAGAGGTTGAAAAACACAAGACTTACACATTATTTATCAAAATGTAACTTTGTTTTTCTAAGCATATTCTATGGGACAATAAACTAATGGTCAAGGGTTAGAGATTAGTGGCTTCTTTTCACTAAGCGGTTTTTGTAAGGATATTCAAACAGCCAGTATGAGGTGGCAAGCCCTCCTTAGTGCTGGAGATGAGCAGATAAGATGGACTGTACCCTCCCGTTGCCCTCCTGGCCCACCCACTTGAGAGCTTGTCTCAAATGCTTTCACCGCCATTTTCATTTGGGGAAGCCCCAGTCTGGCAGCATAGTGTGTCCTTTGGAGACTTAGCCAAGGTGGAGTTGGCTCATTACCCATGCGTCATCATCTAACATGGTATCTAATGTGAAGTGGCAGGAAGACACCCGGTAGGTGGAGAAAGGGAGGTAAGTACAGTGGAAGTATCTCTAATTGCAAGAACACAAAAAAGAGAATCATTTTAAATAGTTATAAGACCTCTGAGTCCCACTCAGTTGCTAATCAATTCAAATACTCAAGTATTTTCATAATCATAATCATACAGCTGCCATTCCTGAATAAACTTAACACTGAGTATAATAAATAGCTTACCTTAATTCACTGGCTCAACCTGCACTGTGTGCAAGCCTATTACAGCTGAAACCCCAGGTGGTTCCAGGTGCGGAAAGAGAACTGAAGGGTGAGACTCTTGTTCTCTCTTTATTATATTTTCCTGAGGAATTATTAGATAAAAGCCCCTGTCCTTAGACCAAATACTGGTGAACCCCCAGACAGGAAATATTGGGAGGGGAATAGACCTCTGTCACAAGAACTCAACTGTGCTTTTGTAGCTTGAAAACAAGCACAGACAACACTTATATGAACTAGGGAGGCTATGTTCAAATAAAACTTTATTTAAAAAGCAGCCAGCTGGCCACATTTGGTGTGAAACTTATAGTTCGCTGATCCCTGCTGTATTTTAATTCTTCAGATTGTTTCTCCATTTCCTTAATTTCTTTCAAGCTTGTTTCCAATGAGGAAACAGTATTTTACTGAAACTTTTCTCCCTTACCCCAGTCATCTCTCATTGAAGTGAAAAACTCATGCTCACTACCTTCTTGGACTTGGAGGTATATTGTTCATCAATAAAGATCTGTCACTGCCAGACCCCTGATAGTTAATTATTATACTGAACATTGGCTGTAGCCTAGAAAAACTGTTCTTGTTATCATTAGAATTTGAACAGTTCTTTTCATCTGTTTTTGTTTAAATTATACTTCTCTCTACATCGCTCCACTTTATTGTCCAGGTATGATAGCCATCATCAGAAAGTTGTTCAGATTTCCATCATGACAACTAATTAGAACAGAAATGTTTAATAATTGTATAAGTAATTCGCGACCACTGTCACAACAGGTTACTGTGAGGTCATATATACAGGTCACAATGTGTTAAAATAATCTAACCGCCTTCTAGTTGTATCAAGCTCCACTATTGGCCATGGGCCCTCATCCCCATTCCAGAGCCCAGAGAGTTTGCCAAAAGCACCATGAGATATGGCAGCACACCAGTCCCAGCTGAAAACTGAGATAAATAAGCCAATAATTCCAAGTTAACGATAAAGTTAAATTGAATATTATCCCCCAATATTTCTCAGAAACCTCCTGTATGAAAAATTCACCAACACAATTAAACCACTTCAATTTACTTAAATAATGTAGGCATTATTTGAAATGAAGAGTAGCTTCTATCACAACAAGGACAATTTGTCAAGTATTTTAATTACTGTACACTAATTTACATGGTTACTTCAATTGTATCTCTCACATCCACTATGCTCTTATTCTCCATATATATATTGTTATGAATAATAGTCCTATTTATGGAAATTGTATTAATACATATGTAAACATTAGTTATTCATTGCTTTCAATTCTTAGGGTGTTTTAGTTGAAAAAATAATCTTACAGCAAAAAATAATAGATTTCTACTTTGTTACCGTAACAACTTTTCCAGTATAGCTACCAAAATTATAAAATACCAACTGTCTACATTAAAAGGCTGTTCATAACTGTAGTGATAACATTAATGTTAGTATTTCATAGAATCATATATTTTTACATCTCATATTGATATTTAGTTAATTTAACAAAGGCAGTCATCCTGTTGTCCTCTCTGATCATGAAAATCTTAGATTCGCTGATATTATTGACAGGAGGCAGTGAATTCTCTGCAGAGCTGTCCTTCTCGTGTTTCATTACGCACCCACCTATGCATTTGGAGGCGCTGGCTGCAAGCTGTGAGAAGCCTCCCTCCCACCCCACTGGTAGCTGGAACAGCCTGTGTGCATGGACACTGGGCGTCCACCTCAGCTGACCGACAGCCCTTCCTCGAACACACCAACAACTGCACAGTGGTCTCTGTCACCAGCCCAGCAGCCAGATGGGAGTCAGTGGTGTGCTTCTGGCCCAGCGACACAAATACACGTTTTCCTGTCTGCTACACACAGTCAAATAGGAGGCTAGAAATCAACAGCAGAAGAAAGTCTAAGTGGCCAGGTTTTGACTACTGTAGCTGACGTTACCATACTGTGCCTGTTTCTGTCCCCTGCAAATTCACTTTGAAGATTGTAATTGTAGTACATTCAAGCACCAGAAAGACCCAAGAAAATCACCGTCATGGTATCATCAAAATACATAATAGTTTAGTACTTAGTATGTGCCGTGATCTAGGCTGAGTGCTCAACAGTCTAGGCCACATTTATAACCCTCTCCACGGTGGCAATGGAATGAGTTACCTTAAGTTCACAGATGAAGGAACTCTGGCTAAAGAAGTTGAGGAACTTACTTACCCACTGTCACACATCCTTGTGAAATTTGGACCTCAGTCATTTGGTGGCAGAGCCCAGACTCCAAATTCTTGCTCAAATGCCTCCCATAAATTTAGCGTGTATAATCCAGGATGGGCCAGGCAAGGCTTTGAGACGCCCTGCTGTGGAAGAATGAGGACTCCCCTCACACAACCGTCCCGCAGGCTGGCCAACCCGAGGAAGCCATGCTGCCTCCACGGCCCAGGGAAGCCAGCTCTGGCCCAGGCATTATGGGCCACCATGCTCATATGCCAGTGACTTTAGTGGCCCTGGGCACTGTGGCCACTGGAAATAAGACCTTCAAGAAGAGAAGTCCTTCTCAGCAGACCTTAATATGGGGACATGGGCACTTGTGTGGAGGAGCTGATGCAGCCACACAGCAGCAGTGAGCCTTACTCACAATCTTATTGCCTCTACAGGCAGGGCAGGTGAACCAAGTTTCTCCTCCATGTAGCAGCAGAAAGAATTTAGCCCAATTTTCTTGACAGACACCAAATCCATGCTAGGGCAGCACTTAGCAATGTATTAAGAAGTCCGGAAGCTACTAACTAGAAATGTAACTGTCACTGTTCATAAAGAAAGGAAACATTTTCTAATGCAAAAAAGGTGCAAAATGTAGAGTTGAACAGCTGTGACTTTTGTACAAATGTGGTTTTCTCTCCTCTTTCGTGAAATTATGTCTGCTGGGTACATTTTGGTTTTAATGGCAGTTACACAATTTGCTTAACTAGCTGGTCCAGAAGACGCAGTTTCCTGGGACAGCTTTTATGCCAGGCTGACCCCTCTGGCTCAGAAAGGGAAGCAGGCCGTGGAACTAGAGTTAAAACCGTAGCGGGGACTGACAGATGTGATTTTCCTGTGAAGCTTTTACATGCTTTCCATTTGATATCACACATCTGCTACTATAAAACATGACTTGTGTGCATTTCCAGAAAGTATGCGAAATGCTGCATAACATCTCCAATGTAACATTTAATGCAAAAGGAAAATCAGATTCATTTCCTGGTTAATGGTGAGCATTCATCATGATGTAGCAAGTTGGAACTTCATGCCTTTGAGTTTCTAAATTTTCCAAGATAAAAGTTCCTAAGTATAGAATTCCTTAAAAGTCAGCATGCATATCAAATATTTTCAATTAGAAATTAAAATTTTTAAAAACCTAGCTTAAATCTCAGGGGTTTTTTTGGTCTATGATGAAAGTTAAATTTTTAAACTATTTCAGTTTTTCGTTAATCTTGTGTGTTGGTTTTTTTTTTTTTTGGTACCGGGGATCGAACTCGGGACCTTGCGCTTGCGAGGCAGGCACCAGAAACACTGAGCTAAATCCCCGGCCCTTTTTCATTAATCTTTAAAAACTAGAATACA